GTGCTTGTTTAGCCCTGTTTACTGTTTGTTTTGCACGTGTTTACTACTGTATGTATAATACATGTATGTTAATAAAGATAACTTGTATAGTAGCGATGATATCTCTGATTCTCGATCTCTGATTTTTTTTTTATGAATTGATTATGGATTTTGAATAACCAAGTGCTTGTTCGAGCCACTGTTCAACCGATGATCGAGTATAATCGATGATCGTGACATCACTACCCTTGACCCCAGCTTCGATATCCCCAACTCGTTTTCGGATTACCCCCCCCCCACACGTCACAACTTTAGATTTTTGTTTTTGCCGTTTAGATTTTTGCCCAACCGTTGACGGACGCTCATGCGATTCTACAAGCTGCATCTGACTATGTCAGATGAGCTAATAAACACTAAATGTATTTACTACCAAAGTCTTAATGTTTCTCTACTCTATTTCGCCTATAATCACCTGTAAATGCCGGTCAAATGCCGGTCAAATGCTCATCTGCAACACACAAGTACACTGCACGCTAGCTGCTGGACACTGACACATAAATATATAGCAGGTAGGAAAGCATGCTGCCAAAATTTGCTCGACGCTGGCTTGATTTTATACGATTACAACACAAATATTCAACCATTCTACTCCATCTTTGTTTCTATTTGAAGAACAGTGTTCACTTGTTATAAAAACATATTGTCTTTATAGTTAACACGTAGTCAATGTAAATGTCTGCCGGAATCAGGAAACACCTAGCGGCGCTATTCGTCACCTCTCTCTCCGAACGCTCCACCAGTGGGTCCACTGGCGGCTTTGACGGGGCTCACACGGGAGGTGGAAAGCAGCGTTGTTGTATCCCAAAACGCAATGCTCCGCCTATAGCCATGTACTTGAGGACATTTAGCATTGACTGCGCAACGTTAGGCGAACGCTCGAATTTCGCCAGTGTTTTTGTGTTTCGCGTGACAGAGCTCGGTTACGAACAGAGACAGTCTGTATTTCTAACAAGTGAACACTGCTGTTGAATTAAAACAAAAGATGGAGTAGAATGGTTGAATGTTGTGTTGTATGTCGTGTGAAATTTTCATCAAGCGTCGAGCGGATTGGAGTCGAGCGCTTTCTTACTGCTATACATATTAACAGTCACTGTGGCACAGTGAGCAATGGCGGCGGTAGTGTGTGTGCATAGAGCATTTCACGGAATTGACAGGAAACTGTCGCAATATACGTGAAAGAGAGTATAGAAACATTAAGCATTTTGTAGTACTACTACTAGTATTACTATTAGATTTCGTATATCTTCAGCATTATATTTTACGCGGCCTATATTTTATTGAAACGTTTCAAGTGCCTGTGCCCCAGGGTACTGCCGGAACCTACCCTGCCCTGGTACTATCTAATATGCTGGACCGTACCTCGCCTACTCCACTAACGAGTCTAAGGAGTCACCTAGTGACCTACGTCTACTCCCTAACCATATCAAATAGTTACCTGGGTACGTTCCGGCAGTACCCTGGGGGACATAGACCCTATGAGCGTCAGTGTGCAGCAGCTAGCGTGCGGCGGCCAGCGTGTGACAGTGTGTTGCAGATGAGCATTTGGGCGGCATTTACAGGAAATTGTCGGCAATAATAGGTGTAAGAGAGAGTAGAGAAACATTAAGACTTTGGTAGTAAATAGATTTCGTATTTATTTAGCATTATAATATTTTATTGAAACGCTCCAAGTGCCTGTGGCTGTGGCTGTGAGACTGGCGACGTTGTGCAACACATTTCTGTGTACTGACTACTGTCTTAGTGTCTACTGACAGTACTGACGCCACTGTATCCAACAATTAATGATAAATGAATTATTATAATCAGCTACAAAAGACAAACGTAGACTAGGCTAGTCTAAAGTAAAGCGCAGCAATTGCTACGACAACTTACGTATTGAAATAGCGTCTGGCCAAACAATACAGCATTACAGGCTACTTTTTACGTTTAATTCTCGTGGCTTTTGTTTGCATCAAAAATATATATACGACGGATCACACAAAACAACATCGTACCTGCGCACCATACATGATGCCATGTGACCTCTTCGAGTCTTCGTTGGCTTTGTCACAGCTTTGTTTACATGTATCGGAACATATCGTACGTAACGTACTGTGATGTATCGGCCTAGAAGCCGATGCGCGACATGAGGCGTGTGGGCGGGTTACCGGTATGGCATGTTTTTCGTTTCATAGTTCGATTTTTGTTTTATGGCTGATTTTATCACATATAACATTTGATTTATCACATATAACATTTGATTTATTGCATATATAACATTTGATTTATTGCATATAATATTTGATTATTTAATCATATGTTATATGCAATAAATTGACAATAATTCCCTGTTTTAAATGTTCACATTATTTGATTTTATACCAGAAAAGAGAATCAAACCATGCGATCCTGGCATCAAACCATTTTGTTTTGGAATCGAATTATTCGATCTGCAAATCGAATCATTCGATCTGCGAATCGAACCATTCGATTCTGGAATCAAATAATTCGTTCACGGATCAAATGCTTCGATTCACGGATCGAATGCTTTGATTTAGTGTGTATGGTGTCAGAGAGGAGAGGTGTGTGTGTGTGTGTGTGCGGTGTGTGTGCTGTGTGGGTGTGTGTTGTGTTGTGAGAGAGAGAAGAGCGTGTGCGTCGTTTATGTTGTGGTGTTGGCTGACAGGATCGAGAGAGAGAACCAGAGGGATCAGGGACATGCTCAGCGAAAAGCCGTTGGACAACGTTGGCAATCTGACGGTTGGGCCAACGTTGTCAATTATTGGCGTGCTGGCGCAACGGTTTGGCCACGCTGAGCAAAAAGCCGTTGGCCAACGTTGGCCTGTCTGACGTTGGGCCAACGTTGTCAAATATGACGTTGGGCCAACGTTTGGCGACGCTGAGCAAAAAGCCGTTGGGCCACGTTTTCAATATGACGTTGGACCGCACGTTACACGCTGGAAAAGACGTTGGAGTTCAACGTGCAATATGACGTTTGTGGGCAACGTTGGCTGACGGCCGTTTGGACCAACGTTGGGCAATGTCGTTGCCACGTTAGGCCCAATGTTGCGCTCGCCCAACGGTTGCGGCCCAACGTGTCGGCACGTGAAGCCAGATAAGGACGTTGAGATCAAGTTGGCTGTCTGACTTGGGCCAACGTTGGCAATATGACGTTGGCCAACGTTGGCCTGACTGCCGTTGGGCCAACGTTGCGGCCCCAACTATGGCACGGCTAGCAAAAAGACGTGATAAATGTTGGCTGTCTGACGTTGGTGCCAACGTCAGCCATGTTATTCTTGATTTACCGCTAAATGTTCGCCTAAAGTTCCTGTTGCTACAAGCGACACACTCAGAGGAGACTATGGCGATCATGAAAATGTGGTAGAAAACACCAAAATTATGCTCTACGCATATTTAGAATTTTAGTTATTCAAACCAAAATGAAACCAATTTCATTGGCGGCATCTTGAAATCCAGATGGTCGCCATCCTATGCTTTCTCTAAGTGTCATAAACTGCGGTTTCTCACTATTGAAATGTGGGTATAGACAGCATAAATTATGTCTCTACGACGATCTTGGAGTCTAGTTATTTCAAAATATAAAGCAATTTCACTAGCGGCCCGATATTGAAACCAATATGGCCGCCCATCCTATGTTTTTGCTCTAAGTGCTGAATAATTGGTCCCACTATCGAAAATGCTGGGTATTAGCCACCAACATTATGCTCTCTTACACGTCTGCGGAGTCCAGATATTTCGAAATCCATTTTCGCTGGCGGTCATTTTGGATTTCAAGATGGCCGCCACAATACGCACACAAGTCAGCCTGGCACCAACATACCAGTGAACTCCCCAGTGTATCATAGAAATTGATATTTATCCGTTTCCAGCCTCTACCAAACAAGGTTTAGGCTCATCCTTATTTTGGATATCTGCCCCTGACTAACTGTGCTTATAATGTTTTATATTTGTTTAGGTTTAGAGTTGATGGTAGAGATTGAGTTTATATTTCTGATCAAAAAACGACACGGAGCGTCGTTGCAGAAGAGCGTTCAACACGACCTTTGCATCGATCAGTTCTTGGACATGCCTCTATGCTTAATATGCTATGCGAGCTGAGAAAAAATACAATGCGTCCAAGCGAACAATTGCGAATTAAACAATCAACCTCTTGGCATTCACGGCATCCTATATACATGAATTTTTCGCAATGTCGGAAATTTCGCGCTACACCGGTATATGCCATGTATTCTGTTTCCATATCGATTTTTTGTTTTATGTTTGATTTTATCACATTATAACATTAAGCGGCATCGAATGCTTCCGATTTACAGATAAACATGCTTCGAATGCCGGATCGAATGCTTTGATTCACGCGACTGAATGATTCGAGTTCACGGATCGAATGAGTCGCATTCACGGATAGAATGATTCGATTTACAGATCGGAATGATTCGATTTACAGCATCGAATAAATTTCCCCGTCAAATCGGATCATGCGCATCCGGTTGAATCGAATACTTTCGATGCGTGGATCGAAATAGAGAAAGAGGGACGAGATATATGAGGAGGGGAGAAGGTGGTACAGGATGGAATGAGAGAATAGAGTACGCAGGGCAGAAGTTAGTGTCTTGGAGGAGAAAGGGAGAAGGGGTGGGGTAGAAGAGTGGGCACAGGAATGGACGTTAGAAAAGGGGTACAGGAAAGGACGTCGAGGCAGGGTAGAAGGTGCGTCGAGGAGGAGGTATAAGGTGTGGGGGAAGAGGGGCGAGGAGGTAGAGGAGGCGCGAAGATGGCAGGGGGGAGAATGTGGTGGAGGGAGGGGGATTGGGGATAGCGCGAGGCAGAGAGGTAGTGGAGGGGGAGAAGCGCTAGAGAGGGAGGAGGTCGAGGATGGTGAGAGATGTGGAGGAGGTAGAGGGAGAGGGAGAAGGTAGAAGAGGGAAGTAGGTACGAGGCATGCTGCGTTGTGAAAGACGCGAGCGAGGTATAGAGGAGGGGAGAACGTGGCGGAGAAGGAGGGGAGGAGGAGGCGATAGAATATGGTGGGGGAAGGCGATAGGGGAGGGAGGGAGGTAGAGGGGGGAAGGTGGTGGAGGGGAGGGGGGTTGCGGAAATAAGGAGAGAGGATGTAGTGGGAGGGGCGGGAGGTAGAAGAGGGCAGTAGGTTAAGAGGATGGTGTGGAGAAGACGCGGCAGAGCGTGAGTACGAGGGCAGGAAAGTGGTGAGAACGGAGGGGCAGGAGGTAGAGGAGGGAGAAAGGTAGAGGAAGGGGAGTAATGTGTGTGGAGGGAGACGAGGCAGGGGGAGATATGGGAGAAAGCGGGGTTAGAAGAGGGAGGATGTAAAGGATAGTGGGAGAAGGTGGGGAGTAGAGGAAAGTGGGAGAATGTGGAGAAAAGTAGAGGAGGGGGAGAAGCTGCGTGGAACGAAGGTGAGGCGAGTGTGGGGAAGCGGAGAAGGGGGAGGAGGTGGTGAGGGTAGGAAGAAGGGGTCGATGTCGCGTAAGTGAGTGAGTTGAGAGAGGGAGAGGACGGGAGGGAGGGAGTCGGGCAGGAAAGGGGAGGGAGGGAGAGGAGGAGGATGGGAGGGAGACGATCGAGGGTGTCCGTGATGTGAGTGATAGGGGAGGGAGGAGGAGGCGGGGGGCGAGGGTGGTAAGTGAGTGAGAAGGGAGGGGCACGAGAGAGGGAGGAGCGATCGTAGAGCGTGCTTGTGCTCACTGGCCTGGCCTGCAGAAATGCACAATAATTGTAAGCCGGGCAAATCCCACACGCAGGAAGTGATGGATGCGGAAACGTAACGGTGTCAGGGGGAATGTACAAAACAGAGACGGGAAGGTCGCGGTCGGTCCCGAGATCAAAGTGAGCCAGTGGCTCGGAACAGAGCGGCCGCCGGGAAAGCACGTAATGTCCGTGAATCGAAGCATTTGATCCGTGAATCGAATCATTCGATCCGTGAATCCGAAAGCATCGATCCGTGATTCGAAGCAGTTCAATCCGGAATCGGAATCATTTGATTCGGTGAATTGACATCATTCAATTCGC